TAAAGAGAGATTTGAGTAAATATTTAATCCAAACTAAACTATTAATTTAAAAATGAGAACTTATGATGTTTGATGCCTCTTTACATTGGAAAATGAGGTGCTCTGGTCTAAGAATCTGAATGCTCCAAATAGAACGTGTGCTATGATAATTTGACAAATACATAAAATCAATGTTCATTTCGTTTGTCTCTTCCTCCCATCCGGCATCCTTATACATTTCAAATTCGATTAAAAAAACCCTATCTAATTCCCAATTCATTAAATTGGGTTTTATTTTATTATTTCTTTCATTTTCATCCTTGACGGAGGGTGACTTCACGCGCCATTCCAAGTTTTAGCCTTTGAATTGTTACCCCTTCATTATCTCTATATATAAAGCCATGTGAGTTAGGGTTTTCCATGGATGGAAAATGGGTTTGTTTTGTTGTTCTTCCTCTCACTTTCTTCCTCCTCCTTAATTCTCTTTCACTTTCTCTCAAATTTTGGGAAAGAAAGTTTTGGGGGAATGTTGGCTGGCTCGATGCTTTGAAATGATGATACATGCAGAGTTTGAAGGTATCGGACCAGGCTTCATTCCCCTCACACATTCTCATTGAATTTTGGTGACAGGTTCAAGTAAAGTTTTGATCTTTAAAGAGGTTAAGGTTGATGGGAATGTTGTTTGGCTCGAGGGCATACAGGTTGATTTTTATGATGATATGTCCATGAAATTTTCTTGAATTTTCTATTACCGGAAAGTTTCGGGATGTATATTCATGTGTATAGCCCTGTGTGATCTCGGACCAGGCTTCATTCCCGTCAACCAAAACACTTCCTCTTTCTCTCTCTCGATAAAAAGAAAAGGGTTTCATTACTCTCTCTAGAGTACATTGTTTTTGATGATTTTTGCATGGAGTTAATATGGTCTTGACCTACCTGTGTCAACAAAACAAGATCAGGTGAGATGCCGTTGACTTCTCCTGTTTTTGTGTTTGACCATGTCCATGTGTGTCCCTTCTTCTCATGATCTTGTATTAAAGGTGAAGTGATTCTCTCTTTCTCTCACTTTCCTAGCCCCCAAGACAAAGAGAGACCCCATCCCATGATGATTTCTCTTATTTTCCGGTTACAAAGGTTGTAACTTTGATCAATTTTCTTTGAAGAAGGCTTCTGTTCTTTTCACAGAAAAAGGGATCAAATGCAATTTCTTGTAGGAGAGACAAGACAAAGAAGAGTCCTGGGAAACCCAAAATCTTACAAAACCCAAAAAACTAGAAATGAAACTCTTTGTTTGACTTTGATCAAACTTAATTTTCAGACATCTATGGAAAGTGATGTGATTTCAGGTTTGGGGCTGATACTTTGATGCTTTGATGATAAACATGTACAAAACCTTGTATTTTGCTAAGGAAGTGAATTTTTTTTTTCCTGTTCTGGGGGATTAGTGTCTGTTTGAATTTGTGTTTTTTTTTTTTCATTAATTACAAAGATTTGTAACTCCCACAACGATGACAAAAAATGTTTAAAAAAATGTAACTGATGAATTTAAGTCTGCTTATTCAGATAAGGCATGGAGGCATTCAAGATGACAAGACATGTGGAGAGAACCCATTCTTGGGGAATATGCATGTGTACATGTCAAAGAAGTACTGCTTTAATTGTTTTTTTTTGGAATATTTTTGGGTGTATGTTGTGGGTGTTGTAATGTCACACGGTATTTATGTTAAGAGTATATAAATTTTGTTTTAGCTTCATTCATATATATTTTATCAATTTATTTTTTAAATTATTAATTATGATATTTAAAAATATTAATTTACAAATTAATTTTAATTTATTAAAAAATATGCAATAATTTAATTATTAATAATTTAAAAAATATATTAAGTAATAAAATTTAATTATTAATAATTTTTAATAATCAAACTAAATAGAATCAATACATTTTTAAAAAAATATTACATGGTTTTAACAAATTAATGTGTGGAACCCTAAAAATTAAATTCATTGACAAGTGACAACTTAGTGTTGTACTAAAAAAATAAATTTTTTAAATACATTTTTAAAATTGTTTAGAAGAAATTAATTTTGATATATGTAAAAATTAATTTAAAAATATCTTAATAATAAATATAAAAAAAATAAAAAATAATGTGTGATATAATCATACTACACGTGTACATGTATGCATGTTTTGTTCCTAAAACCAAAGAAAAGTATGAAACAAAAATGAAGTGCATTCCACACCTTAATTATTGATTTTGGGAATCCACATTTTTATCAATGATTTAACTGTTTTGCATCCTATCGAAGACAACCATTCAGAATGGATATAAGAAATTGTTGAAACAGTTCCTTAATTTCTAATAGAAAGAGGAGAAAAGAATATTGATGTTTTCCTAAAGCAAATTTATCTCCTTGTTAAGCTTAATGAGATAAAGAGAAAGAAGGAGAATTAAGGTAGTCATACTTTACTGATAATGGCTATACAACCAGAGAAGCCAGCCATCTGCTTTTCCTAATTTCTCCCCTTTCTTCTACGAAGAAGCTTAGGCTCTTAACCGTTGATTTTAACAAACTTTTATTGATTCTCCAATCTCCATGTGAACATGTTCGAACTCGAGATAATTACGTATATCAAAGATGAGAGAAGAAACTTTTAACTAAGGTTAAAAATAAAACATATGATATGATGAAAAATTTTTATGCAAGAACCAGAGCAGATTGTCTCTCTGCTACTGCTATATCCAGGACAGAGGAGGACTAAACTCAGATAAAAAGAATAATGGAAAGAAATAGTGCGGCGCTAATTACATGCACCCAAATATACTCTACATATAGTAGACAGGCTGCATATGGCACCCCTTTACAATGAATGATTAGAACCCTACAACAAAGGGGAAATACAAGATAGTATGAAACAATGACGGTCAGGAGAAAGGTGGTTGCTCAGGGAAAACTGTTCGCCGCAAGAAATTGATGAAACGTTTAGCATACAGCTGGGGATCGACAACAGATATCGTCACTGGGTCAAATTTCATTGATTTGCAAGTGTGCTCAGTTCTTTTTCTCATGTTGTATTCCTGCAAGATATCAATTATTCCCAAATAGAGAACAACATCATAAACCTCAAAAAGTTCAACTTCTGCAGAGTCTGCCTCCCCGTTTTCTAGCTTGCGATTAGCCTGAGCTGGCATGTTTACGCCTAACTGTACTCGTAACCTGAATAACATGCAAGCAATTGACAGCCAAAATGAAAAAAAGAACACTTCAGTTATATCTCCCCTGATAATCACCATCTAAAATATTTGACTTAAATTCAGCTAAACTATGATATTGAGATTGGCCAGAAACATAAATGTAACATTTTGTGATTGCATGGCTGGGACGGGGGACAGAGCAGGATTTTCCAGAGTAGCAGTGAAGACTGGATACTGTGTTGGTTTATACTTTCAAATCATACCATAATGCACATTCTTACACATCAATTCCTATTTTTTATTTTCTTCAGCTCCATAACAGGAAAAAATATGTTCTAAACTGGAAATTAATTTAAAACTGTTAAGAAGTAGGCTTTGACTTGAAATTCAGGTAAAACAATGCTCATATCATAATCATCCTTCAATGCAGCAAGCATAAGCCAACAAAAGTCACTATTCACATGGAAAAAGAGAGAGAAAGTAAAAGAGTACCTTTCACAGCTGGGAAGTAAAAGATCAACTTCCCTGTCACCTAAAGAGCGTGCCCTCATTGTACTTCCTCTGATATGGGGACCTGGTGCAGTGTTAACAAAGCTTGGTTCATGGGCCACTAGCTGCAAACCTTTTGCAGGAATCAGCAGCTCGCCTTCTGAGGTCACACCTAGTGGAAGCAGATTATAAGTTGCATGCTATTCAAGTGATAAATTAAAGGAAACTAAGATCAGGAAGTAGCAACACAAAATTGAGGTTCATGCTCTTTATTAGATGTACATGCACCCTCGATCTTAAGTTTATGCCATAAAACAGTGGGTGATACCTACCACACCCATCAGGTGTATTCTCATTAGTGGATATTGCATCTGGAGGTTCTACAAGACCATTTAGTTGCTTAGGAGCGATAAAATGTACACCCAAAAGAAGGCTATAATCAATTATCCCTTGAGCTTCTAAGAAATGGCTGTCGAGAGAAAGTTGCCTGCAAAAAGTAGAAGAAACAAAACAATGATTGTTATGAATTGCGCAGGTTCAGATGCACAGTCAATCATTGGCCAAAAGAAAAGATACAGAGTCAACCAGCCATGACATGTAAATACAATCTCTCATTGATGGGGCACGCTGACAGCAATCCCCAAAGGTTTACAAAAGGTTAAGCCAAATTTGTTTTAGAGCCTATGCTTTAGTTTGGCACGTGGCCATCAACATCTTTTTTGGGTGGTGATTTGCACATTTGGCGTGAGAAACTATCAACCTGAGGCATGATTCCTAAGGGTCCCAGGTGTAACTCCTAGGTTTCTTTATCTTTTTTCCCTCTCGTCTAAATTATATTCTTCATCTCTTTTACTGTTCACAATCATCGTTTATAGCCTAAACTTACCTTCATACAGCCCTAAATCCTTATGCCCACCAAATCCACTAACCTGTCTTGCATCACTCATGCTTTCAGAATGCAGGTTATATGCCATCTGTTACTGTGTAAAGTAAAAAATAATAACCATTACCAGAATAATGAGATCATTGGAAAATGACAGCTACATAAACATAGATCTTAAAATTGTTCTTTTAATAGGATGCTATATGCCTCTACCTAACAACTGCTCTCCTATTCCTTTCAATGTGTGCGCACCATGCATGACGACCTATTCATCAATTCTATGAGACTGAACATGGGATAAAGGGAATAGAACAAAAGGGAGATTGGAAACTGAAAATTAGCACCACCTATGGCATAAAAAACTGAGCTTATTTCTAGTTTTATAGCTAGCAATTACCGCAATAGCAACAATCAAACTTCCTAAAGGAAGGGCAAACAACATGCCCTTAATATTCTACCTTAGAGATTCATTAATAATTTATCAATAAGAAGCTAAATTTAAGCACCAATTCCACATAAATATTACCACATAAATATTACACAAGCTCAAAATGAGAAACTCACTTGAAAAGGGATTCTTGCAACAATTTGTCCATATGAAATCTATAGGATAGATCACAGTCTTTTAATGTGGTGTTCTCTCTAATCTTCTCTTTAGGTGTAATTCTTCCATGAGTTGATCCCTTCAGATCATAACGACGATGAATTCGCAATTCAGTGCAAAACATATTCCCCATAACCACAAAGCGAACCTAGAAAAAAAAAAAAAAACCAGACTTAACTTTAGCCAAGTGTTTGACAGTTAGTAAACTGAGTCACATTAGTTGCATATACCTTTCTTCTGCCTTTTAATGTTATCCGGTGGAGCCCAAAAAATTTGGTTATGAGAGTATTTTCATGCAGTTTTACATGAGTGTGGTAGAAAGGCAACATCTTGAGTAGAACCTACATGGGAGAAGAAAACTATGTATGTCAGTGGCATCTTGGGTAGAACTTAAATGAGACAATAATGCTTGCATTGGTAAGCCAATGGAAAAACCAAAAACAAGAAGAATAAGTATATATAATTATGCATGGAAACTTCTAAAGGTTCTAACCTTGAGCTCAGATTTTTTCAATGTCTTAATGACAAATTTATCATCATGAGAAAGATAGAAGATGCTTCCACTTTTCCCAGGTGAAGAAAGCTCTGTCAGACCATCATCACCACAAATGGACATCATGTATTCTGCTGCATCTAATTTGAACAACTCCCTCAAATCCCTTGGAGCAGTCCAATGGATATGCACAAAGTAGCCAACAATCAAAATTATATTATTGGAATTACTGAAAGTAAAAGAAGACTACACAAGCCACAGAGTACTAACAATTTTTCATGTGCCCCAAACAAACAGACATGCTTATGCTGTAATTACATAAGAACTAATATAACCATAAGCATAGACAAGCATCCACTTTGGTTCATGTACGTCTGTGCATAAATAACACAAAAATGAATGCACAGAACCACAGAAACAAACCTATAAACATTTATTTCAGATATAAGGTCCATTTGTTTCCCTTGTTTGTAAGTAAAAGTTTCTTGATTTTAACATGAGTAGGGTTTCTTTTTTGAAGTTAAAAGAAAAACATGTGTAGAGTTTCATAAGTTTTTACGTTTTTAGTCTATCTCTCCCATTCTTAAAATTTGATAAGGGTATAAATATAAGCCACCATAAAAAAAAAAAAAAATGCATAAATCCAATTTGCAATTTTGCATTTATAATCTCAGGAATAATTTTTCAAGTTGGATATGTTGTTTTGAAAAACTAATGAGAATAAGTGGAAAACACTACAAGTAGAGATTCTTTCTTCCTTTCCAACAAATTCCTCTTCAAAATGACTCAACATAATCAGTGTTAGAGTTGTTTTTCCCAAGGTGTTAAAAAAGAGTGATCTTATCACAAACTGAAAATGCCCTTTGTAATTATGAACTGAATTGACTACAGCTAGCAAATGCAAATGGCATTAATGAGATTAATAAATACCTGAAAACCATAGGGCAATAATCCTTCCAGTAGAAATCAATGGATTTGTGTGGAGGTGTGAACTGTGAACCCTTTCTGGGGAAAAACATAGTTATTCTAGCTCGATCTCCAAAATCAGAAGCTCGAACATCACGACTAGGCACTGGGGTTATCTTACCAACTGTATACCTGAGAACTTCAAATCAAGTATTTCATTGTGTGTGACAGTGCTCAAGAGCAAATTACACAACTAATTACTGTAAATGGAAACTTAAATCATCTTCAGATCAAGTAAGCATTACAATACATGTGTGATGACAAGCTATCAAAGCTAGTCTGGTTCAGTGGGTAAGCCTTAATGAACATATATAGTGAGTGCATAACATTAGCTGGAAAGGGCATTTTCCATCTCAATCTGTTTACCTGATACCAAGTTGCAAGTTAAGCATTAAATAATAGCTATCATTGTGCTTGAAAATGCTTGCACATGAACTCTTTTTTGCTTCTTGTGAATGAAACTTATTTGGCTGTTTTGTGTTGTGTGACAGTTCTGTAGAACTCCTCAGTATCTCTTTAATACAAATTCCTTGCATGTATTCCCTTTCGTAAACAACAGCATTGTTATCTTGCCCCTCACTTTGACTACCATCAGATGCATGGGACATTCTGAATGAGGAATCATTACGCATAATATCTCCAGCAGCATTAGAACGGTTTGAATTAACATCTGACAAAGTAGTCTTGTGTGACATTCGACCTGAACTTCTTAAACTTCCACCAATCGATATCCTCTCAGAAATGCTGCGCTTAACACTTGTTTTCCTAACCTTGAATTCCTCAGAATTTAAAGATGAACTTTGAGCTAACAAGCCTTTTCTACTATCATCATAACCCAAAGAGGCATGCAACTTCCTTACAGATGGATGTCTACTTCCAGCAGGGTAGAATGTTCCTTTTCCATCCTTTAGGCCCCTGGTCCATGTTCCAAAGTAATATCCTCCATCTGCAAACCTGTATATTCCAGATCCATGTCTGAGGCCATTAAACCAAAAGCCATCATAAAGATCACCATTTGCCCATTTCATAACACCTCTACCATGCATTTTCCCATGTTTCCAATTCCCAATATATGTATTTCCATTATTCCAAGAACATCTACCATTGCCTTCATGTACTCCTTCCCTCCAAGATCCTTCATAAATATCCGAATTACAATAGTCCTTTTTCCCCAATCCATGCCGTATATTCATCCTCCATGTACCTCTATAAATTGATCCATCAGTTGCAACAAATGTGCCAAAACCGTGCAGGTAACCTCCAGAAAAATCACCCTCATATTTTGCTCCTGATGGCCAGAATATCTGTCCTTTGCCTGTCATTTTTCCTTCTTCCCAGTCACCATCATAGACTGTTCCATCTGACCATGTATATTTTCCCTTACCATGGGGAAGCATACACTTGAAAGTGCCATTATAGACATCTCCATTTGAGAGGTCCTTCTCATCAAGCCTGGAAGAACAAATAATTTAGCTAACCAGAACAAAGAATAAAACGGTGATATACATCTTGGTAATTAACAAATGAGATGCAGGCCAAAGAGAGAAAGGAAGAAAGGAAGGGAGGGAAATGCCAAATAGTCCTTAAATACCTTTCCACATCCTCCACATTGGTGCATGATACATGGCCTAGCAGTTCCGCATCACTTTCACGATTCTCATTCAATAGATGCTTTAACTGAGTCATTCAGGCACTCTGCAAGGAAAACACTTCTTTCACTACCTCACTTGAAATTTGAACACTGAGAAAACAGTGCATTTTCTACGATGAGCATAAACACATCAACAATACAAAATGACAATTGATAGAAACACCATTTTTTCCTCAAACTGCAAGTCCTAGGAAAATCCATTTCTTGATGTTGTCAGTTTTAACATATATTACCAAGGTTTCATATCAGGGAAATCCTAATAGCTTCTTCTTAGCAGAAGAAACAGGCATATATACCAAGAATCATCTAGTATCTACAATGCAACTAAGAAGATTCGAAAACGTAAAGACGTTGATCCTTTATCTACAAACTTGAGGAATGAACAAACTGAAATAAATTACCTTCAATTCCAACATTAGAAGAATAGAAACCAAAATTCTTACTGTCAAAACTTACCAACAAACTGCAAAATTTCAGTAAAAATTCCCAAAGTTTACACGTTTAGACTTACCTAAGCCCGAACTCGGGATCAGCACTAGACTCCACAACTTCCTATAAGATTTTCTTAATGATTAAAACCCATACTCAGTCTCAAGATGTTATTCTGTGTTACCCTCTTAGTCTTATATACCAAATTAGCAACAAAATCTATTAAATTGAATAAAGAGAAAAAAAGAAAAAAGAAAAAAGAAAAAAGAAAGAGCTGCAAATGGAAATTCAGCATCTCAAAGTTGAAATTAACACATAAAACCCACAAGAAAAATCAAGATGCTACCTTTTATCATACAAATCAAGGAAATCAGATACAAAGTTCAATCTTTTCACTAAAACTCACCTGGGTGAGATCAGAAAATCAATCCCTCCTCCAAGCTCAGCTCAAAGACAACCCCTTTCATGAACTGTGAGATTCAAAGAAAAAAAACCCAATAAAACCCAAGTCTTTATTAGCCATAAAAAAGAAGAGAAAAAAAAAAAAAAACAGAAAAACAAAAATGTCAAATTTCTAGCGGACCGCCATTCCCCACAAACCTTCCTGCTGGAATCGACACTTCATCTCTCCCCCTACCCCTTCACCGTTTCTCTCTCTTAAAAATCCAATCTTTTTGCCTAATTTTCCTCTAAACTTTTAAATAATTTTCAAGTTGGTAGGCATCTGAAATTTGATCTTTTCTTTAACCATGCATGCAGTTCCTTTCACAAACTTTAATATTCTTTAAACTTTTTCTATCAAAAAAAAATATATATATATTCTTTAAACTTTTATATTTTTTTCTTTTAATTATTTTATTCATTAATTTGCTCACTGTTTTTTCTTTTTGTTAATAACTGCTAAGCAACTGAAAAAGAACAAAGTGGGATGAAAACAGACCACGTGGCAGGCAACAGAACGTGGGTCCAGCACTGACTTGGAATTACTGAAAAGTTGGCCAGATCATGTCGGGGCCTACTTCATACGTGGCAAATGAGAATTGGGTGGAATGCAGAGAATAAGTGCACCTGAGCTGTAGAGGATCTTTTTTGGGGAACTAAAGTGACTGCCACCAAAGGCATAAAACACGGGGGCGGGATTGTCTGCTTTGAGCAATGGAACAGCTCAGATGACGTGGATGGTTCCTACTTTGGCTTCAGCTCATGTGGGACATTACTCTTAACAAAATAATTATATATTTTTTTTAATTAAGGGCTTAAAAATAATTTATATATTTATTTATATTATTTTAAAAAAATAAAAAAATTTAATTATTTTTTTAAAAAATATATAATCAAAATAAATGGATAACATTAATATTAAAAAAGTATTTGTTTATTTTAAAAATAAAAAATAGTTAATTTGAGATAAATTTAAAATTTAAAGAAAATTATCTTAAAATAAAAAAATAAGATTACTATTTTTTTTTATCAAATTAAAAAAAAAACACACACACGTACATTTCGTAGTTGATAAAAGTGTTTGTCACTTGGCATTGAAAAAAAAGTTACTGTTTTGAATATAAAAGTAAGGTTGTTTCCTTAAAAATTATTTAATTTTTTCTTAAGTTTTAGGATGAAGGTTGTTTATTAAAATGATATAATAGTTTTAAAATATTTTTTTGATTTATTATTTTAAAATATAAGTTGAAGTATAAATTAAGGTGTGTTTATTATAATTTTTAGTATTAATTTATATAAAAAATAAAAATTAACTTTAGTTTTATTAAATTGTTCTACACAGTATTAGTGTAAAAAATAAAATTTTTTTCATAACTTTTTATGCAAATTAATACTTTTTTCATCCTAAAATAATAATAGATTGTTTTTTAATTTTATCTTTAAATTAAAAATTTGGGAAAAAGTTCTATTTTTATCTATTTTATGCTTCAAAAATAAACAAAAAAATTATTTTAATCAGAGAATGAATATATAAAATTGAGAGATGATTATAAGGTTAAGATAGTAAAAAATATTTATCTCCTTTAAAATTAAAAAAAATTACTATTATTCTAAAATAAGTTTTAAATAAAAAAAATCTACTATTATTTTAGTATAAAAAGAATAATAAAAAAGTGTAATAAATATATCATTAACTTACACTATAAATGTATAGGTTAAAAAAACTCATTTTTGAATTAGGGATTGCCATTTTTTTTTTCTGTTGGTTTTTATGAACACTAAATTTTTTTTAATTTTAATTATTTTTTAATATCGTA